TGGAGGTGTGAGAGGCCAGTGGACGTGGTGGGGGACCTTGAGTCAGTCAGTGGAGACGTAGGTGAAAGTTTCTGGGCCTTGGAGGAGGGCTCTCGCTGAACATGGAGGAGTGGGGGGAGTGGGGGGGAGTGGAGGGACCAGGCACAGCAGGACAGTCAACAGCTGTCTTGATAGAACAAGAGAAGAAAGAGGCCCCTGGCCGTGGAGGATAGATGGGCTCGGATGGGCAGGAGCGGGGAGCAGTGCAGCGAGAGACCTGGCTCAGTGCCTCTCCCACTGGAGAGATTCCCCAGGAAGAGCGACACCCTAGTTCACCTGGTGTAATGCAAACCCTGCACCAGGGTGGGAATGCTCTGCTGAGACCAGCACTGTTTTCTTGCTACAGTCCTTGTGTGTCTACTGTGGGCAAGGAGGCTAGCCCTCAGCAACAGCAGCTGCGGATGTGTCTCCTTCCCACCTGCGTGTTCAGGGTCAAGGCATTTGCGCAAATGCCCACCATCTGAAGGGTAGCAAGGAGCCCTGAGGGCATGGTGGTTACGAGTTGACCTTTCAACTGAGAGCTCAGCAGTTTGAAACCACCAGTCACTCCGTGAGAGAAAAGCAGTGCTTTCTACTCCCATAGAGTCCCCGTCACAGGAACTCGCAGGGGCAGCTCCCCCTTGTCCCACAGAGTCTCTATGAGTCAGAATCAACTTGATGGCAGAGAGTTTGGTTTGGGCGTTTTCAGACCTTGTCCTCGTTTCTCAGACAAGTACAGAGGGCAAGCACGGGGCAGTCAAGGGATGCTCCCACGGAGGGTGTTGCTGCCCGACAAGCCTCTGCTCACCGTGAGGTGGCTCGGTCCTGGTGGATACCTGGGTGTTTATGCCTCTGCCAGGAGACTAACAGGGACAGAAGATCGAGTCGGTGTTGCATGGGAACCCCAGCTCTGTGTGTGGGGTTCTATCTCCATCATGGATTGCAGTTGAAGCCATGCTGGTAGCGTCGTAGTCACCTGGAAAGTAGAAGAGTTTCAAAGCAAGTGGCCCTAGGAGGCAGAGGTGCTGACCCAGCATGCCCCCTCGCTCTCTCTCATGCTGCCTGAGCAGCACACGATGGGGTTCAATGCAGTGGGCCACCCATGGCCCACACTCCTCATCCCAGCTGCTGCTCCACCACCCACACCCCTGCTCCCTCCTTTAACCGCCTCTCTCTGTTTAACTTGTCATGTTCAGCTGCCAAGCCACCTTAACTCTTGGGGGGGAGGTGGGGGTGACTAAAGATTAATGGAAAAGGTAGGCTAGCCTAACTAAGTCAAACAGGACATGACCACAAAGGGACAGGCCAGAGCGATTCTGCTCATGACCTTAGAAACGGAACGCAAGTGCAGAAGCTCTGGAGACATTCAGCAAACTGGGGGAGAAACAGCCGGGGGCCGGGGGCTTGTGCTGGGAGCCAGGCCCTGCGGTCAGCTGAGTCTCAGCTAGAGCCAGATGCCTCATGAGCCCGAGACCCGCGTGGCCTTAAGTTCTGCTCCCGCCCAGACATGTCGGGCGCGGGTGTGAATCCTGGGTGTGCTGCTTCCTCACTGGGCGGCCGCCAGGACGTTTTCTCTACTGGGCTGAGAATGAGGCCAGCCAGCGCCAAGACAGGGTCATCACTGAGCTGGAGAAGCAAAGTGGGCCTGCGCAGCTCACCTGGAAAGGTGCTGGAGGCACCAAGGGAAGCCTTCCTGCAGCTGTCACAGGTGCCGTGGCCATAGCCGCCCCCTTACGATCTCTCTTGATAGGAAGCAGCCACCTGGCCAGGTGACTGAGGGCCAGAGATGGGCCTGGCAGCTCTGGATGCTCTCTGGAACTGAGAGGCGGGAGGAGACTGGCAGTAGGCAGGCCTGACCAAGTGCTAAGTTGGATTGGGTGCACTTCCCAGAGCTCCCCAAAAGCAGGCAGGCAAGAGGCCACCAGCAGCAGCC